TTCTTCTTCTTCTTCTTCTTCTTCTCCTTCTTCTACTTCTCCTTTTTCTCCTTCTCCTCCTCCTTCTTCTTATTTTGATTTTTCTACGACTAGTGCGACGAAGAAAAGAAAAAAGGAAGAAAATCGAGGCAGTTGTTTAGGCTCGGGTTGCAAAAGTTTCTAGAATTTTCCAAACGTCTTCGTCTTCCGAAGAAGCTTTGTTAACTTTAGAAAACGTCTTCCAGAACTTTTAAGAGTTCCCCTTTCTATTAAATTTTGTCAGTTCGATCTTATTTTTACCACCAATATCGAAAAAGATCATGAATATCTGAATGAAAAGTTCAAACAGAGGCGCATTGATCTTGTCAGAGTATGGTTGAAAGTTTAAACTTCAACATATGGGTTGCCTTTTTGAAGAAAAACATGTAGGTGCAGCATGATCATTGATACCCAAATATTCCATCCACATCCGCTCGGATTTGACCCTTGAGCTCCACGCTTGAGCCATAAATCAGATCGGAATAAAATCAGAATGTAATTTTGACCGTCTCAATGGTGTGATGCATTTACAGCGAACGTTTAAAATTTTGGCCAGTTTACCGCCAACAGTTGAGGTATTAGTCGGATAGTAAAGATACGAAATTTGGGGTTACATGAAGCTAAAAACGTCGATCAGCTGTAATCCTTCTCAAATTGGTGCCCAGTCTCTTCGAGAATCTGTGTTTGTTTGTTTTTAGCAAAATGGCGGACAGGTTGAAACTGTGCTAAGTTCTAAACAGGGTTATTCCATGTGATTTCAGATCGTACTCCTCTTCTAAGACGCCATTTTTTGGAATTTAAATTTTACCGTACAGAAAAGTTATCTAACGTGAATTAATAGAAGCCTTTTCAGCTCAAGCAAGACTGCGGTGAAGTTGTTATGGAGAAAGCGTCTCTGTTTTGCACCGATGGTCAATTCCCTGCTTGCAAGAACATCCCTTGCATTGAAAGATAACTTACTGGTATGGTACAAACAAAAATTGTAAGCCGTTGGAGGCCTTCAGATGCTCGAAATAGCGTGATAAGTGATGCTTCAGCATGGATGACAGTACTAGTTAGACATTGTTAGTAACAGGACGTACATAGTCTTACACAACCACTTCAAGTCAAACCAGAAAGACACTAATCGCAGAAGATATGCTGCAGAATAACTCATTTCTTGAGGATGAGATCAAAACAGAAGAAGAAACGGAGGAATCGAGTTCTAATGAAGAAGAACTTCCTTACGAAATAATTGACCGGCCTCAGTCAAAGTTGTGCACCTTTGATGGTGGGCTACTCATAGTGTGGGGCTGCGGAGAATTCGGTCAGCATGGCCATGGATATTGTGAAGATGTGCCCATTACTGATGCCTTAGTTAGTCCCTTGTGGCTGGGAAAAGACAGAGTGGTGGTTGAAGTGGCCTGTGGATCAAGTCACACTTTGGTTCTTACTGGTTAGTGACTTTATGAGTGATTAAATATCATAAATTTATCATTACTAATTGCTTGTTAATAAATAATAATCTGCCCTGTTGGGACCTTTTTGATAGCCCATGTATTTTACTGATTTGAATTAATTATAATTGCCTCCCTTTTGTTAAAAACTCTCCATATGTGATGTCAATAGTATTCATTAGCCATCTAAGATGGTAAAATTCTTGGCTATCATCCTGAATTCTATGCTTAAATCTTGATGACATGAGTTACATTTTATTCATATGTGAAGAATATTCATGCATCATTAAATTATTTTTTGTTCTACTACATCTATTAACAAAAAAACGCTGACCGCACACTGTAACTAAGTGTGATTCACATCTTGCATCTTGCTCACTTATCTGGTTTGCCTGCAAAGCATTCTATTCCATTTTTTTTTTCTAAATTGAAGAGGCTTGAGAGGAGTGAGACTCTCATGAGAGCATAGGGCAGTAGTATGCAAAAACAAAAAACATTAACTTGAAAACGCTGCTAAACAGGCTAATGATTTGCTGATGATTTGGTTTGAATAACTCATAGATGATAACAAGGTCTACAGTTGGGGGAACAGTAACAGTGGCCAGTTAGGAGTAGGTAGCACTGAAACCAGTCCACATCCCCGCCTAGTGCACTTGGGGGTGTCATCAGGCACTAAGCTGACGGAGATCTCTTGTGGTACAAGACACAGCTTTGTATGGACACAAGATGGAGACTGCTTCAGCTTCGGCAATAACTATAGTGGGCAGTTGGGATATGATTTCAGGAAACCTGATTTCAAAGAAAATCAGGTGAGGTTTTAGGTCAGGTTGTATCATTCTATCTATTGCAAGATAGTCTGTCATGTTTTATAAACTAAATTGATTGCAAAAACTGACTGTGGTAAAGAGTTTCTTATGCTCAAGTTCAGAACATTTGCCCTTTACTAGAGCAAACCATTCACTATGATGAAATGCAGAGCAGGTGATTAACAGATACATGTAGCTTAAACTTTTTTTTTCTTGAGTGAGGATTATGACTTTGCCCTAACTTTTGGAAGCATTTAACTGCTACAATTTCTGAGTTAAGAGCCCACAAGTAGTTGCTCTCATTATTCATTAAGAACATAACTTTGGACAGCTTTCCTGTAATCTGTGTACTAATATTTAATTTTTTTTCCTTAGCTCCTACCAGTTTTTGTGGATACTCTTTTACAACGCTCTGTGTCTCAAGTTGCTTGTGGAGCTCGTCATTCTGTATTTTTGTTTACTAATGGGCAAGTGGCTGCTGTTGGTGTAAACAACAGAGGGCAGATTGGTTGTGGTGATACAGTAGATGTGATCTGTCCCAAGACTGTGCCTGACTTACAACCAATTTCTGTAATTGCTTGTGGCAACAGTCATAGTATAGCTGCAGATGGTATGTAACTTAATGTTGAAAGACTTATTAAAAAAGTCTAGATATTAAATGGATGTTTAAGGGAAACACATTTTATGGCCCAGTTTTTCAAAAGGTAGATTACACTCTTTATCCAACTAATATATCACTCTCCAGCAGATAAGAGTTAAAAAAAGGTTTTGCACTGTCAACCACATAGAGATTTTATCTAGTGGAAACTATTGTCTGGCCTTCAAACAACCAGAGCCAGATGATTAATAGAATTAAAAAATTTTGGAATTTGTTTAAGTCAGTGAATTATTAGAAGTGGTTTCTTTAACTTCAGGCTACTGGTGTCAATTTCACTAGCTGAGGAAGAGAAAATTGTAGCCAAATTTTGGTTGGTATTTATCTGATTGAAAATTGAAAAAAAAATAGAAATGAGTCGTTGGTTCTCACAGTCTCATTTATTAAAAAAATCCTTTACACTGAAACTGATTTTATTAAATAACAGCTATGCCATCAAATTAGCAACAGACTCATCCCTGTGTTACAAGCTCTTGATTTGTACCATGTTTGTTGTCTTTTTTTTGATGGCCATTCATTGCAAGGAAATGAAAATAACTATTAAAAAAGTATCATTACTGCTTCCTGGTTTGGCATGAATTACCAGCTGATTGTTCAGTTTTGTATCCTTCACTTTGATTCCATGTTGTGTTAGCAAATTGTTGAAGTATTAGTAGCATGTTATCTGGTGCCTGGCCCCCATTAAGTAGTGTGCTTGTTTAAGATTATTTGAAAAAGTCACATACATGTGTAGATTACTGAAATTCTCCCAGGGAATGAGAAGTTTTATTCAGCCTCTTATTAATTTGATTAACTTGCATCTTTCATTTATTGGCGTTAAATTTTTATAGTATATCAATGATTATGGGATAATGAATAATTGGGATGGATCATTGGATAATGCAGTTCAAGAGTTTTCATTGGCTTAGCCATCATGGGTTATGAGATTATACTATGTGTGCCCATGCAGACAAGTTTAACAGGAAGTGTTTTTGTACATTGTAACATTCAGTTTGTTCTTACTAAAAAAAGTTGAGAAGATTTATCTATATTTTGGGGACTTTTTAAGCCTTTAGCCCCTAAGAGTTACCAGCATCTAAATTCTCCTCACCATATCACCCCTGAATCAAACATGAAAGTCATGAGAATAAAGTGGATGATCACCAACAAAAGCAGCTCTTGATTGTTAAACAAATTCTCCTTGTCAGCCTCTTTGGAAATGTATGGAGAACAGTATGGAGAATATGCACACTGATGTTAGGGTGTAAAGGGTTAATAAGACAGTTATTCCACTTGTGCTTGATACAAATATGAGATGATTATGACCAACTCAGCCCTGTGGTCTGCCTTGGCTATCTACCATCCCATATCCAACTTGTGCACTCATGGAATAATTGTTAAATAGTCGATAATTATGATGCTGGAAATAACAATTTTTTCCCTGCATTTGCTAATCTCTCAGTTCATGGCAGTGTTCATGTTTGGGGATACAGCAAAGCATGTGGTGCCAAAACAGATGTCTTGTCCCCTGTGCATGTGTTTTCAAGCAGTGAATCAAATGGAATCCAGGATTTAGCTGGTGGTGACTCTCATTCAATGATCCTTACTTCAGATGGCATTCTTTACTCCTGGGGTAATAACTTTGAGGTGAGAAAAACAAGAAGATACTTTTGTAAGGGATTACACATTTAAAACATCATTCCCTTGTATATTCAAGACTAAGTGACCATTTATTATGGACTCATCTTTAAAAAACAGAAAGGGAAAGGATCCAGATAAAGCAGATTTTATACAGATGTGAGACACAGTAGTTGTGCACTGGACTCTGGGTTAAGAGGTCCAGTTTCAAGACCTGGCCTGGACAGTGTGTTGTGACCTTGGGCAAAATACTTCACTTTCACAGTGCCTCTCCCACCCAGGCATATGTATGAGTACTGGAAAATTTTTAGGGGAGCCTGATGAAATACTGGGGGTAACTTTTTTGATGGAATGGCATCCCATTCAGAAGGGAGTAGCTATACTCTTAGTTGCCACATGCTATGGAAACTGGTATAGGCTCCAGCTGTCAGGACAAGTGGCTCAAGTACAGACTTTTCACTTTTACTATACAGATTTTGGCTTCCCAACAATATGTGTTACCCTCGTCTGAAGTGTTTACATTCCTACAATGTTTTAACATTGTAGGAGTGCATTGAAATACATGAGTTAGCAATATGATGAACTTTTGAGTTCTCAATTTCAGGGTCAACTGGGACATGGAAAGTCTGTGAAGTTTCTCAGCAATCCAACAAAGTTGAGCTCCAGTTTACTTCCTGGAATGGTGATCAGTGTTTCTATTGGCGAGAACACTTCTGCTGCTGTTACAGGTAAGAACAGATGGTATTGCTTCTTTCACTTATATGAATGCTGTTCTTTCCTGTTAATTTTTTATGTGCATTGCCATTATGTCACCCAAAAAAAAAAATCGACGTATACAAGGTAAGGAAAAGCTCTGAGAATAGTCGCATTGGAAACAACTAAAGGAACTTATTTCGAGAGAAACGAAAATTCTCCCAAAATAAACTATGTAAAAAACACATCATGCAAGAAATAGGAGATGCGTCTTTTTTAAATCGAAATTAAAGAGAAGCTTAAGGTCTTGGAGAGAAAAACAAGTTACACCTTGGGGAGAGAGATTCATTAACTCTTTAACTCCTAAGATCTGATTGTTAATTCTCCCCTCTAACTGGCACACAATTCCTTGTAAATAAGTTATGAGAAGTTGGTTTTAGATCGAGATAACGACTTCTTCCTGATAAGTTTGAGTATTCTCATTACCTGGTGGCTGGATAATGTACGGATATTATAGGGGGAAATTACTAGTTAATCACTTCTGGGAGTTAAAGGGTTAAAACTGTCTTTGACTTATTATGTAAAATTAACGAAGAAATCATGATGTGCGTTTCTTTGCAGATGATGGTAAATTGTACCTGTGGGGCAAAAACGCCAGCCAGATTATCCGTATGGACGAAAGCAGCAGATTTTTCCAGTTTGAACCGTTTCATGTCTCTCTGGGAACGTGGAAAGCTTTGAAGGTCTGATTAAGTTTGTAATTATGAGTATATACGTACCTTTGTACATAGGCCACAAACTCACTTGCTTAACCCTTTACAACCTAACATCAGTTTACATATTCTCCATACTGTTCTCTACACATTTCCTAAGGTGCTGACAAGGAGAATTTGTTTAACAGGCAAGAGCTTCTTTGGTTGGTGATCATCTCCTTTATTCTCATGACCTTAATGTGTGATTGTAAGGTGATATTGTAAGGAGAAATGAGATCCTAGTCAGTCTTAGGGTTCGAAGGGTTAATGCGCTTTGTGGTGGGATTTAAAAAGAATAGAGAAACAGACAGCTTGCCTTAAGGCTTATTTTCGACGGTTGCATATATTCTCTTGAATCTTTGGACGTAATTCGTCCCGGTTAGATGGTAACCCTTAAATGAGAATTTGCTAGGGTGGGAAGGTTTTGAAGGGGAGTAGATAAAACGGGAACAGGGATGGAGAAAGAAGGAGAACACTTTAGGCTGTGTTGTAAGTGCGCTGGATTTTTTGTTTCAATGGTCCTCCATTTCCCGATGTGTCCGCCTATCTCCTTTTCTTGTACCATGGGATTGTTTTTCCCTCTTTACTTGATAACGTTAGGAAGAAATATTAGGAAACCTCGAAAACTGACCATCACTTCATTCCTCTTGCTTTGAAGGTTTCCTGTGGTTCTTGGCATGTGGCGTGTATAGTTTGCCCCAATCAGAATAGTAACAAGGTGGTTGCTAAAATTCCCGAGGAAATACCTGGAGTAGAAACAATTGCTGTCCAGAATGAAGCTGAGGATAGCTTTGATGATGGCTTACTCGTTTTTAAGCGTAAGCAAGAGGCTGACATGAAACCGAAAGAGAATTTTACATGGAGTGACAAGGAAACACTTGCCAGTGATGAAATAGGAGTTTCTCAAGATTCGATAAACCTTTTGAATCAGACAAGAACTGAATCGAACCAGAGGATTTTAACTGGTTCAGATAATACTGATTCAGAAAGTCACAATACGGAGCAGATTGAGCGCTTGTGCAGAGATAGTTATAGCAAGGATTTTATCGTGGATGGAGTAGTATATGATGCGGGTATAAATAGAAATGCTATAGCTGGAGCAGACCTCGATAATCCTACAGTTACAAATAACTTAGAGGAAAAACCTGCTTCCACTCTCGATACTAAAAATGAAGAAATGACTGACCATGTAAAAAAACTTGTGCACGAGGAAAAACCGGCCACCAGCCCTAAAGTACCACAATTGTCTGCTTCTGGTGATCCAGCCATAAAGGGGATGAGTGAACGCCTGAGAAAAAATTTAGAGCTAGGATTTGTGGATCGAAGTTCACTTCTGAAGCACCATTATCCTTCAAAGACGCGCGATTTTGTGATCAAAGATAAAGTTACATCGACAATTAGTGAAGCATTACACGACGTTAAGCCGCTGTCCGGTGCCTTAACAGAACCGAAAACAATCTCATCCACTAATGATTTTGAATCAAAGCAACCAAAAGAGCAAACTGAAAAGAGTTTTGAATCCAGTGTAGACGATGAATTTGATTACGCTTTTGAAAAATTCAGCGGAGAACCAAACAGGGTTGAAGCAGTATGCGAGGACGAAAAAGAGGCAGTCGTCGAGAGTAAAGACGAAATAAACCGTTTAACACGACCTAGAGCTTGCTCCGAACAGCGTAGTGGTGAAGACGCTTTGGTATCGGAAGAAATTAAAACTGCCCTGCGGAGTGGGTCTCTTGACAGTTTGAAGCTTCATCATCAACAGGACGATGCAGCCAAGAATTTCAAGCCAAGTCGGGTTCGTTACAGTCCTCCTGCTCATTCACAGAGCCCAGTGGGACATCTGAACCGAGAAAAAAGGCCAGCTAGAATGCTACGATATACTTCTGTTGACATGGTATGTCCTAAAATTTTAAAATAATATGAATGAATTTAACTTTGTTTAAACACGGGAGTCAATGTCAGTATCTGAGCTACAGCGCACCTACCCCTCCCCAAACTGAACAACAGTCACCTGATAACAATTAGGGGTAAACGATGGGTTAGGGGAGGGGTGGGTGTGCAGTTGCTCTGATACTGACATTCATTCAAACACTGTTTGAAACATCAGTCGGATTTCGAAAATTGACTAAACATTTCGTAAAATTGGTTTAAGGATTTGCCGAGAAGAATTGTGACAAGCAAGTCATCGAAAGTTAGTAAGTCATTTACGTTTGTCTTGCTTTCCTCTCCACAGGAATACCACTTACCTAACCAGCCTGTGCACACAGTGGAGATTGGTGTCACACCCTACTACCGACCCCGCCCTCCCATGAATCGCACTCAATCCAGTCCCACGCTCTACTCGTCAAACTTAATCGGGAGTCCTCTGGGTTCTAGGAGGAAAAATTCCCAGTCGGCGAAGATTCCAAAACCTCCTACATCAAGTGTTAACAGTGGCGAGAATCTCCCGCCCAGACCTCCTGCGCGCGCAATCAGGCGTCCCCTTGGTCACAGGCCCATGTTCTCATCCGGAAACTCTTGGAGGAAGCGGAAGTAATTTAAGTGTAACGATTAAGGAGGACTTCATTGTTATCTTTTGAACGGAAAAACTATTTTACTTCAAAGCTCCTTTGCGGTTCCAATCGTGTCTGTTTTCAACACGTCTTTGATACTGAATTTTTTGTGACTCTTTTTTAAACGTGTCTCAAAGCAATTTTTTAGTACTATCGCCATTTCTCTTTTTAACGTCGCATTTCTTTTATAAGATAGGAACGTCAATCTTTTTTGGAAAACGTCTCGACGATTTTTAATTTTTTAGTTCTAAAATGATTAAGACGCTGATAGGAATCGACCGCAGCAGTCCTTCAAAGCCGAGTTTATTCAATTTCGCGGGCCGAAATATTTTGATCACTCGATGGTCTAAGTTGAAGAAGGATTCTTTGTATTTTTCGTTGAGAAATGTTTTTCGCTATCGTCTCGTTCATTTTTGGTTACTAGGCTGGTTGATTGTTGTTTGTTTTTGCTTTCTTTTCTGTTTTCTTGTTTTCTGTTTTTATTTTGTTTCATTTTCTTTTGGTTTTTTTTGTTGCAATTTTATTTTCATTGAAAGGAGAAATTTAGATAGTGGTTACTTAGTAGTTAAAGGGTTACGCACGATGAGGTGAATACAACTGAACCAGTTCTAAGTTTTTTTTTTGTCACAGACGTTTCCTAGTTTGAATCAATTGTATAAAGAGAACTGGCATTCTCATCCTTTATTGTTTTATTTATAGTGTGACATGGCAATGTAGATTTATTTATAGACTAGCAATTCAGAGCATTATTTATTAGATTTTAGGGTTGGAGAAGTAAAAGTAGTTTTTTGAGCTAAGCCGAGGGGAAGCCTATGTGAAAGATTAAAAACTTTAATAGAAGATTGTAGAGTAGTTAAAAAAATTGCCAGGTGATAAACTTCATTGTTCTATTTTTCATGAGTGTCAAGTCTTTGTAAGCCGATAGTCAAGAAATTATCAGAACTCGAGATAAAACTATTTTTATGGTTTTATGTATTTGAAGAGTGTTAAGATTGAGGTCTTACTTTATGTTCGTAATGCTCACCTTATATAAAATGCATTCCAAGAGCTTAACAAAACGTGTGTATCTAACTTTCTGTTGATTCTGTTTTCTCTTGCTTGTTTGGACGATTTTTGAAATAAACAATAACGGTTTTTCAAGTTGTTTGTGGTCGAAACGGCTCATGTTATGGCAAGCTTTCAAGGGCGATTAAAGACGATGAAGGGCAAATGACCAGTTATCTTTCAAGCTAGTTTAGGTAACACAAAAATGACAACGTTACAGTTTGTCAAAACGTAGGTATGCTACGCATGCAAGAGTTTTTTTTCGGATGGGTGGGTCAAGGTCTCTTTCGGTATTTAAAAGAAAAAGAAACAATGATGCTAGGAGGTAGTGTAGCAGAAGATGGATACTTATTCTCACGCAAAGTAGCAAACTTGCCGCTTCGCACATTCTGACGAAGCTGCTGCACCAGAGAAAGATTCCCCCAGAAAAGTGACTGACATTCAAACAATAGTCATAATGGTAATTGATAATAATATCAACAATAATAACAATAATAATAATAGTAGTAAAATAATAATGATAATAACCGTAACAGTGATAATAATTAAAATTATGATGATAACTGTGGTGATACCATTGTGGTTACAATTTATGGAAAACGGATCGATAGTTTGTTAAAGAAATCTGTTCATAATATGCAAAAATTATGTAACAAAATCAAAATTACTTCACCACAACTTCTAACGGAAATTTGATGTTAACATGAACAAAAATGAAATGTTTGACCTATACAGCGCAGGTCGAAGATGAGGGGACATCGCACAACACCTTACCCACGTATTACGCGTATACGTATATTGGTTTATAAATACGCGTATGGCCTCGTATGTATCTTCGCTATTCGAAGCCATTCCCATGGTTTGTGTGACATTTTGCTGCACAACAAAAGAGATGTTAGAGTACAAGCGCCGGCCCACAAACTCGCAAGTCGCTAGATTATTATAAAAATATCGATGAAAGTTGTCGAGAGCAGACTACGGAACAACGGGAAGTTAAATCATTAGCATCGGTTATTCTTTTTTGTAAAAGTTTGGAACGAAATAACTCCAGAACATTGATCATTTGCTAGAACAGTACAGCGGGCGTTTTAAAACAACCCACTCTCGCTCGCTTCTCCCCTAATAGGACACAGTTGGACGACATATTTAGTAAAGCTAAAATCCTCGCAGATGAGCTTTACTCTGAGCAATTGCAGAAAGGAAGCCCGGAGAAAATCAGGCTTCGACGGAATTCGACCCGTGATTTTGCATTTTGTGTCACAATGACCACTGAGAAAATATCTTGGATTATTTCATAACGGAACAAAGCTTAATTATAAGTGACAGGTAACTAAGTTATTGTAGCGGCAAAAAACACTTTAAACACAAGAGGTAAGTTATCGATCAAATATGATTTATGCAGATGCTTTGCGCAATTTTTTACCAGTGTCATCAAGACTATGACACGTTCGTTTTAGGCCATCAGACTGACAATGTTGAAATTGAAGAAGAGGTACATTAAACACCTTTCAACTTTTTAATGATAGAAAAGTTCCCTCTCAGTCTTTCAAGCCCCAACAGATCATGGCGGCAAGGTCCTCACGAACTTGATAGGTAAGATGACAATTCTAGAGGGCGTGAATGTTGGGTAGACTCGCAATTGCAATATTTTGCGGCACCCTGATCCCATATCATTAAAGACAAGAAGAACAATTGATTAACTCTCTGACAGGAGCAAGCATACCTTAATGCTGTAATCTGATTGGTGCGAGCAACATACGTTAACATTGGGTTACTATTTTTTTTAATTAAATCCCTTCTTTCCCCTGCTGCTTGCAAAGTAATGCTTTATTTGTTTAGATCTTGACACCCCAACGTCACTGTACTGTTCTCCATGCATCCCTTACGGTGCTGACTAGGAGAATTTGTTCAACAATCAAGAGCTCTTTGAGTTCAAGATCATTTCCTTTATTTTCTTCACCTTAATATTTTAGGTATTTTAGACAGGGTTGACATTGTGAAGATTAATTATATAGAGGCTAGTAACTCTTAGGGTTGAAAGAGTTAAATCTTAGTAAACTTGTCTTGAAAGTTAATTCCCTTTTTATCTCGGTTAAATGACCAAAATCCCCTCCTATTTTGATTGTCAATTCTTGACTCAAGTATTCAGTTCATGGACGTTGAAATGGCAATTTAGAGTCAAATGTAGCAATTAATGAATGAAATTTGGATATCAAAAGTTCGCAGTCAGAAATTCAGGACGTAGGAGACTTATAAGTCGCAAATCGTAAATTAGAAGTCCGATAATGGAGGTTATGAAACTATACGGCAATGGTCGGAAGTAAAACTCCGAAATCGAATGCCTGAAATCCGAAGTCTGAGGTCGGATATTAGAAGTCCGAAGACGAAAGTCGGAAAATTGAAAGTCTATTGTCGGAAATAAAGCTCCGAACTCCGAAATCGAATGTCTGAAATCTGAAGTCTGAAGTCGGAAATTAGAAGTCCGAAGCCGAGAGTCGGAAAATTAAAAGTCGATTGTCGAAAATAAACTACGTACTCAGTAATCGAAAGTCTGAGACCCAAAGCCTGAAATCAGTGGTCGGTCGGTATAAAAACAATTAAAATAGTTTTTCATTACACCGTTAAACATGTAATGATTAAGGAATTATTATGTCTTGAAACCCGAAGTAAAGTCAACAAGAGTCCATTTAGATAAGGTAAACACAAATGTAAAATAGTTCAGGGATGGGTGGAGGTTGAGGTTGAGGCTGGGGTTGAGGTTTAGGTTGAGGTTGAGGTTGAGCATGGGTTGTATGTTTTATTGTTTATGTTATGTTATGTTTATGTTTATGTTATGTTTATGTTCCTTTATTCAGAAGGTTTCAGATTCAACTATTTATCCTTTATCATCTAGGCAAACTTATATATTCGATTACTTATCATTTTCCTTTTTGACGATTACATGATACATGTTGAGACGCTGAATCTTTTAAAACTGCCTCCTCCTTCATGATCAGATGATGCATAAACATTGCAACGATTACACCGCTTCCTTGTTAAAAACGACTTGATGCATAGACACTACAATAGCTGCTTCTTTGTTGACAAACACACGATGCATAGAAACCGCAACTTTTAAACTTCTTCCCAGATGACAAACGCATGATGCATAGACACCGCAACTTTAAAACTGCCTTCTTGATGATTACTTATCATTTTCCTTTTTGACGATTACATGATACATGTTGAGACACTAAATCTTTAAAAACTGCCTCCTCCTTCGTGATCAGATGATGCATAAACATTGCAACGATTACACCGCTTCCTTGTTGATAACGACTTGATGCATAGACACCACAATAGCTGCTTCTTTGTTGACAAACACACGATGCATAGAAACCGCAACTTTTAAACTTCTTCCTAGTTGACAAACGCATGATGTATAGATACCACAACTTTTAAACTGTTTCCTTAGTGACAAACACATGATGCATAGAAACCACAACTTATAAACTGCTTCCTTGCTATCAAAGACCTGATACATTGACACCACAACTTTTGAACTGCTTTCTTGTTGACAAACACTTGATGCATAGACACTGCAACTTTTAAACTGCTTCCTTGTTGACAAACGCATTATGCATAGAAACCACAACTTTTGAACTGCTTCCTTGTTGTCATGATCAAGGGCATGATGCATTTACACCGCAACTTTTGAACTAGAAGTAAAAGGCGGGTTTTTAATCCAAACCCTGCAAAGAAAAACAGGAGAAGAATGTGATATCACGGAGGCAAAGACACATAAGACACAGACTCTCAGTTTGAACAAAGTTTCATTTGATCAGCAGGAGCAATGTAGATTAATTCGATTCAAATATTTTATTTTATCGCACAACCAGTTAAAACTGTTTTTTACTCTTATCCGTGCGTGTCGATGAGTGCGTTTTGAGCTCGAGCCTTTGTAAGCTGCGTGTTTCGAATGTTGACTTTCATAGGAATAAAGGCAAGTACGTCTGTAATGACAGTTTTCGAACTCGTCGTATCCTGTTGGCTGAAATATTTTAGTAATCATGTCGACACGTTTGTGTTCTGCGGCGGAAAAGTAGCTTGTAACAAAAATGCCTAGCCTTTTTAAGACGTTATAGTTTTTGTTATTACTGTTT